TTACCGATAAATCTATTAGAATATTGGAGGGTTTTAAATCCCTATATACAAGTCCTTTCTCATGAAATTCCTACGAAATAAAAAGGATTTAGTCATCGTATACTTCAAATGTAAAAAACTTAAATGGTTATTACATTTAATGTGGCACTCATATTCTTTGCAAGGGCGACTAATTCGTCCTTGGTAAACCTGTGTTCATTTTTGATAAGCTCATATAAAGTTCCATCTTTTATCCTAAAATCAAACAATTGTTAAGTAATATAACAAAAAAAAGTAAAATATTCTAAGTGTAAATGATAAACTACCATTCTGGTGTTTTCGTAATAAAACCGCCAAAAATCTGTAATACGTTTGGCTAAAAATGTAGAATCGTAATAGCTTTTGTTAATGAACTAATAAATTTCTGTAAGATTAATAAGAAAAGCAAATACTATTTCTTTTATTTTTTTAAACATATAATATTCCTGATCAAGGGAATATTTCAAAGAACACTTTAAAACACAAATATCATTGTTTTCTTGGTTTCGAACTTTAAAAACTGAGCCAAAACCGCCCCTATTAAATAATTAATAATAATCAAAAAAAGGAATATAAACTAAAACAAACATGATAAAATACTTATAAAAGAATACTTACTGCCTAACAGACGGATTATCGTGTACTTATGAACTGCACATTTTGAGAAATTATCTAACAAATAAATATCTTTACATATTTTTATACTGGAATTTAAATACTCAATTTGTTGAATACGTGAAAATATTACCTTTATTTGGTATTTCGTTACTAATACTTGCGTCAACAGTTGTTTCATCATCTTTGTCATATAACTAAAATATCATTATGTTAGAGAAATGTAAATGATTATACAAAATTGAACTCTATAATTACCAATACGCTTCCACAGTAACATTCCCATAGAAGAATTTAACTAAATTATTAAAATTTAAAATAAACCAATTAATTAGATCATGAGGATTGTATTATTCAAAGTTCTTTACATGTAAGAAATTGGTAAGATGGAATTAATCGTTCCATTTGATAAAACACTACTCACAATTCGCAGTAAATTCATTAAGGTTTATTAGGAGTAAGCTACCTTCAACAATTGCGGTATTATCACCGGCATTATTTAAAATTGACTTTTCTCCTTTCAGATTGATGTAAGATACGTTTCCACTGTTATTGTTATAGTAAATACTAAGTATAACGAATTTTAATTAATTAGAATAACTTAAATGCAACCATATTTTTGTGAACTACATTCCGTGTTCGTTCTAAATCAAAGGGAAGAAAACAAATCTATTGTTACGATGTAATACTTTGCGAAATTAATGGATTATAAGAATGTTTAAGCAAACCCACCTTAGATAACATACAATGAAGTTCATAATTGCTTGGCATATGTTGATACTAAGGAACGTGTAAAATAAATTAAGTTTTATATCAACTTGTTTGTTTTTCTTTTTTTTTTTTAGAAAACATACACCATTGCGGGTTTCGTTCTTTCCGAAAGTTTGATAATCCGCTTCGAGGTAAATAGTACCGATTCGATCACTTGTTTCTTCGTCCATAGGAATGAGCATACCCCAATATTTGTCGCAAGTATTCAAATTGCTGCCGTCTGAAGTAACAAATTTTCTGATTTTTGTAGTGTTAAAAGCTAAGTCAGAAAAAACTTGTTTTCTTTTGTTGCTTTGCATGTTTTGCATGATAAAAAGGAAAAAATTATTTAGATAAAGTTTATTTTAATCTGAAGTTGTCACATGATTTACCAATGTTTGGCATTTGATTTGTTAATTTTATTTCCTAAACTAAATTTATTAGATTACCCGCTGCCCATATACTAATTCTTTTTCTTATTTAACAAAACTACGAGATACAAATAGAAAGCCGCTGTTCCTCTAGACGAACCTTTTATTCAACTGTGCTAACTAAACAATCTCGCACTACCAAGGCGTGAAAATTGTTTCTACGAATGTAGCAAATTAGTATACAAGCATGAGAAGACATTTCTCATAACTTTTTATTTCTTCTCATTCAACATTACGACTACAGTTTTAGTGTAGCAATGAAATTGGAAATTCAAACTTTACAAAAGAAAGATATTCCTCTTCATTATATCAAAGTATATAAACAAAACATGAAATAAAGAAGATTTTTGGCTTAAACGAAACTGCCTTTATCAGTCATTATTTTCATTCTACTCAAGTTAAACGGAGAAGAAACAATATTTTGAAAAAATTTACAAAACCTGTCCTTATATGCAATTCACTTTTGGTTTCGAAATCATAAGAGTCAAGGTTAAAAGAAAGCTGTAGATTCAAAAAAGAAGCAGAATCTAAACCGAATAAATTACTTTAGAATAGATGATTACTCGGGAATATTTCAAACGAAAATCCAATTATTCATTTTAATAAAAAGAAATTGGGTATATGGGAAGTTTGCTAGGAAAATGAGGCTCTGGGAATTTTTTTGACTAAAATTGAGACCTTATTACATTTTAATCTATTAACATCAAATCTAAAATGCCAGAGCCCCATTTTCCTAGCAAACCTCCCATATATGGATTTATTCAACCTATAAGTAACTTTAACTATTAATTGAAATCTCAATCATTCTAAAAATTATTTATTAAGACAAAGGTCTTGGTCGATTAATTGGCTAATCAGTTCGAATAAAATTATTTATATGCTTTCAATTTATTTCTTAATATAAAAAAAATTGAAAATTCTAAAAAATTATAAACATACGATATCATTTATCTTTATTATACTTTCTTTGTCAAAAAATCTTTAATTTATAAAAGCATTCACCTAAAGGGATTATCATATTTACTGTTTATTTTTATGAATAATAACTCGTTAACTGATTCAGGTTTCAATCGATTCGATCACTAGTAATTTGATTACCAGCATTACTAAATAGCCGTTCATTTGGAACAGATGTAGCCTCAAATATTTCTAGCTATTTTGAATAATATTGAAAAACTTGATTGACATACTCACTGTACATCATATAGTACGAAGCATTGTATACACTGAAAACAAATAAATTTCAGGTGAAGCTTGTGTTGTTCTATATTATCCAAATAGCAATTAATATCATCTTCATTATCTACAGTATCTCAACTTCAAATCTAAATAAGCGCGACTTAAACCCAACAATCTGATCAATAGGTCATGTATTTTTTGAAATATAGCAATTTTCTTTCTTTTTATAACAATGATATTGTATTTGATGGTATTTCTTTAAGCCATCTATGCATCTTTCTAAATCTTGAATCTAAAAGAAAGCAAGCTTTAGGTGATGCATCAAAATAATCAAAGCAAGCATCATAATTTCTAATTATACAGAATTAATAATTTTAATAATAATTTTATAATTTATTAGTAATGCTGCTTCTTCAAATCATCATAAAAGTTAACTTTTATAGTTCTATCATCATCTAAAATTATAATTAATAATTAATACAAATTAAATAAAATATAATTAAAAATGGCTAGTTAACACTTTCTCTTATCAATATATTATTTTAAGATAAATAACTGAATAAAAATACTTATGTCTACTAATTATTCTTTATTTTAATTAGTTTAAGATATTTAAAAATCACTTTTATAATTTTAAGATTTTGCTTTTCTAATTTTATAATAAACTAATAAAACATGCAAATTAATTCAACATATAAATTTACATCATTAATCAATATAAGGCATAAATTGTTATTATTATTCAACTAAAAATACATTGTGATTATCAATATAGCAATGATTTATACATTTACTATATATGTCAATACTTTTAAAATTTACTGATGATGTATAAAATTTTTTTATGCTTTATAATTACAATGATTTATTTACCCTTTATTTTTTCTCACACACAATGCTAAAAATTTAAAGGTCATCATATTCTGTGAGTAAGAAGCTTGAAATTTTATTTTATGTAAAAGAATGTGATCAAAAAGCAGCTGTGCAGAATTTTTCTATTGATCACTCAATGATTTCACATTAGAAAAAATATGAAGACAAACTTAAGTCAGCAAATAGAAAAATCTGACATGTTAGTATAGGAAGAAAATCACAATATTCTGAAGTTGAAACTAATTTAAAAATATGGGTTATAGAATTTTAAAAGGATAATATTGCTATAATTCCTAAGATAGTTAAAATTTATATAAAGGAAATTTTGATAAAAAGCTCATTTAAATTATAATTTTAATATGAAGATATTATTTTCATTTGTTTGTTAAGTAAAAGTTTTGTTAAAAGTATAAACAATTTGAAATTGCTCTAACTTTCATAAAAGCTAAAGAAAATTTTTTTTTTTAATTCTAATTAATTGAGTAATTATAATATTTGTTTTTTTTTGAAAAAATTTGTTTAAAAGTAAACAATACAAAATTATAACTTTATCTTGCTATAAATTGTATTAAAAAAAATACAAAACTCAGCTTTATCTCGCTGAAAATTGCATCTATTTATAGAAAAAGAGAGTTTGCATAGGAGAAATAATTTAATTCCAAAACTATGTAAAGATTATTTCTATACTTTAAGCTCTATTCAAATAAAATAAACAAAATTATGATTTATGATTAAAAGTTCTTTAAATAAAATTTTTTTGAATAATTGGTTTTACTATTTTAGTATAATAATTAATAAATTATATTGCGACAATCTGAAATTCTACAAAAAAATTATTTAATATTTTAGTATTCTATAAATACACTTACCAGTCAAAATTCTAAAAAAAATGATTTTACTGATATTATAACAGCTCTAAAAATGCCCTTATTAATTTGAATTATTAGATTATTAATTTAATAAATTAATTAAATTAAATAAACACATAATATTATAGCTATTCAATTTATTAATTTACTTTTCTTTTTATAGGTAGTTTTTGATTCTTTAGTAAGCAATTAGTTTAATTTTTTTATTTTTCTATTTTATTCTTTTTTTTCTTAAAAATTCTAACATTTCTATTCTCATTAATTCACTTTTCTTTTTATAGATAGTCTTAAATTAGTTTAATTTTTCATTTTTCCATTTTATTCTTTAAAAATTTCTAATATTTCTATATATATAATATTAAGCTCATTAATTCACTTTTCTTTTTATAGGTAGTCTTTGATTCTTTAAGTAGGTGATTAGTTTAATTTTTTTCATTTTTTCATTTTGTTCTTTTTATTTCATTAAAAATTCTAACACAATTTCTCTTTTAGCATTCATTAAACTCTTTCAACCTGATTCCTTAAGATTATTTTAAGCCTTAGATTCAGATAATTCTATTTGAAAATTCTGTCTAGTTCTTAATCTAAGTAAAAGAATTGATCAAATCTAAAAAAAAATAAAAAAAATTAAAATATTAAAAAAAAATATATATATATTAATTTGCATATAAAAAAAAGGAAAAAACTATTAGCTTACCTTCACTATAGTAATGAATCAGATATTTCATTTAAAGGTTCTATTTAGTTCTTAACTTAAATAAAAGAATTGATTAAATCTAAAAAAAAATAAAAAAATTAAAATATTAAAAAAAAAAATATATATATATATTAATAAGGATAAAAAAAAAGAAAAAAAATATTAGCTTACCTTTACTGCAATGATAAATTAGACAATTCCATTCAAAGATTCTGTCTAAATTTAAGATAAATAGAAAGTATTGTGTAGCTTTTTTTTAGTTAGAAACATTTTGCTAATCATTTTTTTTTATTTTTAAGATACTAGACTTAAGTACTAGAATGGATGACTTGAGTGTCTTTCTTTTAGTTATAAACATTTTACTAATATTTTTTTCTTTATTTTTTAGGATGCTAGACTGAACTTGGGGTAAATAGGGGTATAGGGATAAATTGGTGTTTTTCTTTTAGTTAGAAATATTACTAATATTTTTTTCTTCTTTTTTAGATTAGTTTTTTTATTTTTTAGGATGCCAGATCAGACTTGAGATAAATAGAAGTAAATGGAGGTAAATGAGCATCTTTCTTTTAGTTAAAAATATTACTAATATTTTTTTTTCTTTTTGTAGGTTAGTTTCTTTATTTTTTTAGGATGTTAGATTAGACTTGAGGTAAATAAAATAAATAAGAATAAATTTTTTATTTCTTTTTATAGGTTGGTTTTTTTTATTTTTTAGGATATCAGACTGGATATGAGATAAATAGAGGTGAATAGGAGTAAATGGGTATCTTTCATTTAGTTAAAAATATTCTAATATTTCTTTTTTCTTTTTATAGGTTAGTTTCTTTATTTTTTTAGGATGTCAGACTAGACTTATGGTAAATGGGATAAATATGCATTTTTCTTTTAATTAGAAATATTATTAATATTTTTTTTTCTTATTATAAGTTGATTTCTTTATTTTTTTAAGATGTTAGATTGAACTTAGGGTAAATGGAGGTAAATGAGGGTAGACGTCATTTTTTTTAGTTAAAAATATTACTAAGGTTTCTTTATTCTTTTATAGGTTAGTTTCTTTATTTTTTAGTATACTGAACTAGACTGGAATAAATATGAGTAAATAGGGGTATTTTTTTTTAATTGGAAATATTACTAATTTTTCTTTCTTTTTTTTATAGGTTGGTTTCTTTATTTTTTAGAATACTAGATCAGACTTGAGGTAAATGAGATAAATAGGATATAATATCAGATTGGATTTAGAGTAAATGAGATAAATAGGATAAATAGGTATCTTTCTTTTA